TTTGAACAAAGGGTAATTTGTTTTCACTTATGTTTTAAATTTATTAGCCGTTTGTTTTTAATGGCTGCAAGAGTTTGGAAAACATGAGCAATAGCCATGTATAAATTGCTCACTATGTATCACTGAGAACTGCTGCTCTGACATAGCAAGCAGCAAGTTCAAGAGAGGTGAAGTAGTCTGAGAATATTTAAAAAAAAAAAATGCAAAGAGCATCTCCAAAAAAGGAAACAAGGGAGGACTGGGAAACAACTGTAAACCAACAGCAAAATGAATAAAGCCACCTCCTTACCACCTGACAACAAGGAAAATGGTGCTATTTCCAGCATTTGTTTTTAAAGCAGCAATGCTGCGTGGTGACAAGTGATGTTATTCCTCTATGACTAACTGGATGCAGCACCAAAGGCCTGGCGTGAGGCTGACTCACTGAGCTCCAGACATGCCTGCAGGGGCAATGTCTGCTTGAAGAGCAGCACAGCCCAAATTCTCATACCTCGGAGACTCCCAGACACCACCGTAAGATCTCAAGCAAGCAGAGGAAATTGGAGACCACTCCTCACTTTCCTACTGGAGATACACCTCCCACTCTAGCCACCCTATTTCCTTACTATCTGAGCACTGCACACCCCCAGCTTCTTCTGAGACAACCATTATACCTTCATTCCTTATATAAATAACTGACATCAGGAAGAGAAAGCTCCACGTAAAAAGCAGGGCAACCCAACACCCGGTAAACAAGAGAAACCACCACAGAGGTTCAGATTGTTCATTGTCACATCACAGAAGTTCAGGTCACTTGCTGTGAGAGCTGCTTGAGCTTACCTGCATGTCAGACGCCAGTGTCTCATAGGTGTCTTTCAGACAGTGCCAGTTCTGCCTGCCCAGTGTCAGAGCCACCCCTGGCAGGCTGTAGGCACAGTGCTTGGCAATCTCGGTATCGACTGTTTGTGCGCGAGACGGATCAGTCATTGATAAGTACTGATCCAGCAAGGCTTGAGGTACCACATCCTGCAGGCAACAAAAGGGTAGAGCCTTTATACTATTTTCAATTAATCCTCATAAGGGTTACTAAAATTCCAGGGCACGCTGTCAGAAAAAAAACCAAACATTTTTTTCTACCACAACTATAGAATATTACTTTATTACAGTGTCCTAGTAGAGCGCAAAGGTTTAGTATTTCCTAATTTCCACCAAAAGGTTCCAAAGAGACTATGACATGACTGGGGGCTATTTGAAAATATATAGATCCACAGAACAGATGAACAAGTGGACCACAGTTGTCTTAGGGAGACCAGGAAATTAAAAGATTACATTCTATGCCTCTGCAAACATTCAGGCTCATGGGTTGTGCAAACTGGCCATTTTAACCCACCCATAAAAATAGGCAGAACAGCAAATGATGAGACTTGCTCAAAAAAAACTTTCTCTAATTCTCTCAAAATCTTGGGAAGGTAGAAAGAATAAAACTAAATCAAAATGCCTTGGGGAGGCAGGGAAGGGCAGGGAGCGGAGTATAGTGTGTTCAGTATTGCTTCCAAACTCCCTGAATAGCCAACAGGAAGGAAAATGCTTCTCCAGAGACAAAGAGATCTCTGGTGAAGACCATTCCTTCGGTTCACTGAGAAACTAAAGCAACTAAACCAAAATTTTGTGAAAACCTCTTCACATTGACTTCACCACTATCTTTGCACTGGCTCTCCCCAAGGGGTGTACAAGAACGTTTCCCTGACACCGCTGCCCAACAGCTCTGCTGACAAGAAACAAGAGGGACACTCAAGGAATCACACTGTCGCGGGGTGGCACACCTACTGTTAAACTATGTAACAACAAACATTTGATTCCTTTTGGGAAAAATACCAGAGAGACAGTTTGAGCTCGATGAAACACTTTCACAACTGTTCTACAAAAAGCTATCATGGGGAGGGGGTGGTTTCACTCAAATCATGTAATTAAAAAATCCTGTTTCCTCAATAACCTAACTTCCATTCCAGCATCGTTTCCACAGCAAATTAAACCAAATGAAACCAGAGCCTGAAAATCTACGACAACTGTTACCTCATGTCAAAAAACTATTGTCATCTCCTATGTATAAATGTAACAGAAACGACTGCTGAACTCAGACATTATTTCTGGAAAAAAGTAATATTTTAAAACTACTTAAGAGGTTTGCCCATCTAATAGAAACCATATCACGTCAGGAATGACTGAAAGAAAAGGATAAAGGAGATCCTCATACATAAAAAAAATTCCACTTATCTGATACACATAAGAGAACCAGAAGTCCCTTTAATTTACCTGTACTTTGGATTTTCTTTCTTCTTCAGGGCTGAAACTACTGTTGGTGCTTAGATCTGAATCATTATGAATATAGTGAAGTGTAGAATCCATACTCTGTGAAAAAAAGAAAATGAAAGGTCACACAAAATACACTCTAGGACTAAACATAAAAGAAATATCAACACCAAGAAGTGCTGCCCTAACTTCAGAGTCTTTTTCTTAGATTAAAGGAAAATACGTTTTAATATCAAATACAATTTTGCTACAGCCCAAAATCAAAAAATAAATCTTTCTGCTTTCAATTTCAAACTGAGGCTCTTCTTATTCTGCTCCATTTTGGTTCTTGTGGAATGAAAAAAAATCACAGGAGAGGAGTAACTTTGAGACCGCATTAAGGAAAATGTAACCCAACATATGAGTCACATTGCCTGTCCCCTGAATGGAAAATGAGAAAACACCTGTAGCCAGTTTTGTTGGATTTGTTGCTTTGGATCTGTGCTACAAAAAGGTCAAAACAAAGCCACCCTCACAGTGAAGAGTAGAAACTGATGAGACTTATGCTGTTGCTCACTTCTATTCTACAATCTTCTCTATGGATAAGCTTCATCTTATAATGTGGAGTCCTCGCTGGCCATAGCTGCTGACAACAGTCATCACCTCTCTTATCAGTTCTATTAAAATAATTGTTAGCAATCATTCAAGCAACCTGGCTACATATCTGGACCTTGAAGATAAGGGCTGAGCCCCTGTTTCAGAATTCTGCTGAGCAGCAGAGGTTTGATACGCTGTGATGGACTGTGCTGCTGAGGGGATGCAGCACTGTCACTTTCCATACAAGTGGAGCTCCCCACATACAAGGGACTTTGGATAATAAACCATGAATCTCAAGAAGCAGGCAATGATATTAGAAAAGTAGATCAGGCTACTGTGTGGTGGCACAGGACAAAGGCATTTTTGCTAGAATTGAGTCAAGGTATCTTATCTATTCACAGACGCTGCGGGGTGAGCTCCCAGGGTCAACACAAGCAATGAGAACATGCCTACTCTACCAGCTGTTCAGATTATTTTGACAACGAGGATTTTCCAGCAAACTGTAGACTTCTTCAAAAAAGCCTCCAGGATACCATCTGTCTTCCTTGGTTTGACTTCATATAGTTGCTTTTTCCTCTTCCATGAGCTGCTTTTACCTAAGAGCTGGGCTGTAATTTTAGTTGCTGAGGTATAATTACAGGTGATCAAGACCAGGCAGAGCTGTGAGACAACTACATATTGCTGGCACAGCAGCCCATGTCACCTGCCAGGCTTATCAAGCAGCAGCAAGAAAGTGCCAAAGAGCCAAGGAATCTGCAAGCAACTTTGCAACTAAATGTGTCCAGCAGCATACAACTCCCAACTATAAAACCTCCAGAGGCTCTGAAAAGCACCTCTGCAGGATTTTTACTTTGACAGTCAATTCCTTCACTCTTTTTTTTAGCCTTTTGTTTGGCTGGGTTTTTTTCCCCAGAAAAAGAGATTGTTTTCAGTATTGCCAGAAATTCACCAGTTTTGACTCCTTCCAAATGAAGAAATTACAAGGTAGCCAGCACACCCTATCCACAGTGCTTTTCAAGAGTTGTCCAGGAGCACAAGAACAGAGGCTAGTCATCTATTCTGCTACAACAAAAATGAAAAGACTCCATCACGCACATTCCCTGCTACCCCAGTTCCAAAAGGTTAAGTTTAAAAAATATAAAATAAAAATCTTACTTTATGGATTGAACTGAGTTGAACAACTAGATATACTGAAGTATGTTTATATATATACACACACTGAATATACTGAAGATGGGAACATTTTTACCCAGCCATTTTTAAAGTCAAATATGCACTTCTGTACAGAACCACAGCATAAGTCAGCATTTAAGTTATGCAGCATCTCTATTCCTGAAGATGAAGTTCCATCTGTACTTCTTCCAAGCACACACCGAACTGAGCACTTCAGAGAGCCAGGACATAGAAATGCAGCAGGGTTTAGCCTGGAAGTTTCTTGTGTACCAAACTGGTGAACCACCACCTCTGAGATGCAAAATCTTTGCCATGGCCTTACAAATCTTTAGGTGAGGTTTCCTTTAGCTTCTATTTTTAAAGAGAGGTACTTGTGTCAGACAGGAGTGGACTGGTTTTATTTCACTTTCTTTTCTTTTCTACCTCTAACATTAAAAAAAAAAAAAAAGGACTCCCACATCCATCCACTGGGTGGATATGACCTGGGGAATTAATCTTAAGGCTTACATTTATTTACCAAACCTTATAGAGAATGTACAACCTGAAGAACATAAAAACAATGGCTCCTGAGGAAAAATCAAACAGCTATCTTCAACAAGCAAGTTTCATGTCCCATAATCTTACTGGTTCCCCCTATTACACCATTTATTTCATCTGAATAGAGAATCTCTCAGTAATATGTAGAAATAACTCCTTCAGGAGCCCATACAGCTGCTGAAAGACAAGCAAAGTGTGTTTTGCCTGGTGGTATCTGTGCACAACTGAGCAGGCTGCATTCAAATAAAATACTTTAGCTTGATTTTTTTTGTCAAGTGTCCAGTACCCAGTTAAAACATTGCCGTACTGTTACAAACAAAAAA